CTCTGAACAATAAACAGCTCTGTTTATCATTTTCTACCATACAGATGGCACTTTTTTAGCCCAGTTACGGGTACACTTTTGTGATGATCCGGATTACATTTGTTTTAAATTCTTTATTAAAGGCCAGGTTCTGACTTAGCCTCCTGATTATATATCACACTCTCCCCCTTTTTCTGTGACATTTATTCTGAAGCATTTTGACCAAATGGCAAGGCCTAGAGATTAAAACTCCCTAGGCCAATGGAAGATTGCTAGTCATTTCCCTGATTTCTCTTGTTAAGCTTTCCTAGGAGGAAAGATTACTGTTTTCTTTCTTAAAGCCTCATATTGCCTAATGAATCAAAACAGTTGAGTGTGTGAGAAAGCTGTAGCTAAGGACCAGGTAATGACAAGGAAAGAAGCAAGTTGCACTATATCCAGAGACATTAACCCAAAGACCTGGTTGAAAAAGAGATCCTATAGGAAAACAGGCTCAGTTCTTACCGAACAAACAAGGCCGGAAGGTTTCAAAGACAGTCCTGATACAGGAATGCCCTCTGGATCTTGCTCTAATGAATGCAATTATTTTGAATTTGCTTCTATAAGCTAAACCATTCTCTATATTACTTTGCCTCCTTTGGAATAGAAGAGTCCTAGTGGAATAAGAACAAGAATTTAAACCTAATGAGCCTTCTGCTAGGATGGGCTAGGGGTAGAGGAGTGAGGAGGTGGGGGGTAAGGTGGATGCTGGTTAGCCTTCATTGCCCTCCCAGTGTTCTGAAAGACAGGACAAAATGATGTGGTTTTGGCATGCAGGGGCCAGCTTGCTCAGGAAATTGTGGCATGTATAAAAACAAAGCACATAAACAAACTCTCCATCCAGGAAGCGGAGTTTAACAATTGCCTCATTAACAAGATCCAGGGAAGGACAGGAAAAGAGGGGGAAGCCAATGGCTGATTATTATACAGCTCTAAACAGATGAAGCCCTTCAGCTTCTCCCCAAACAATCCCTGTAGTGTGGATTTGACAAAGTCGCACATTTAAGAGGGAGCTCTCTTGCCATCAATGGGAGTCAGACGCACCCGTATCTGAGGGCCAAATTCAGTCCCTGGAGCTTGACTTTATCAGTAGACACAAGACAGAGGACAAGGCAGCTACATCCACAAGGAATTAATTAAGAGCAAAAGCAACATCCAGTGAATGTAATCAATAGTCTGAACACTAATCTACATATCAACCACTATTGCTTTCTCCCCTCCCATTTCTTTTGAATTGTTTACACTAAGGTGCTCTTACAACTACTGCTTCAGTAAAGATTTATTTACTATTTGGCCTCACTGAAGTGACATATTTCCCATACAAAATACACCCTCAAAGACCAAAAATCTCGATGCCAATTTAAGTTTCTGAAAGGTTGGAATCTTTTAGAGCAGAATTTTATCAGGGATGATTTATTAATTTGGCTTTCTCCCTGCACATTTCTCCAGTTTCATATGTGATGTATGTTAAAATCAGCCTGATTGCAAAATTGCCAGAGTCCACACCCAAATTTATCTTTGCTGAGTAGTTTCGTTCTATCTCTTTTAAAAAAATTTCCCTTTTGTACCATACCATAACACCCCTTGCTAAGTATTCCAGTGTTGCTTGCAAACACAAAGTATTGGTTTAACACAACGCTTTCCGTTACTGCTATTTGTTTCTTGCATCTCTCCCAATCCCTCCCCACCCAATGCACATACCAAAGGCACATTACAGTTCCCATTTTGAAACAAATGAAAACAATCCTGTAACTTTCATATTACTTTCCATTTATGCTGGGCAATAGAACAGGTCTCATTACCTTATTTTTCACTGGCTTACCAGAGACATCATTTTTCAAGATCAGGTTCTTGGTCAAATCCTTTAGCAAAGACTCTGACTTCTTGAATCTGTGCTTTGTGTGACTGTCTCCTGAGCAGCACTAAGGCCAGAGTAACTTGTCAGCTGTCACTTTTGTCTCCAGCCTTGCTCTAGACCCAGTAATTCAACAGCAGCCTTTATTACTTAAGGAAAATAGGAAATTCTGCCTCCTGGACATAAACATGTGAATTCTCTATGTCCAGGACCAAGAAGGTGAAAAGAGCAGATTTTACCAACATTTCCTTAAGCATTAAAGTCTCACTTTTAGTACATGTGGATTGTTATCCACATGCTTAATGCTTTGCTCATGAATCACATTTCAGGGTATATCTGTAAACATTTTTGGATTGTCAGTGGGCCTAATTTTACAGATCTTACTTACACCATACTCCCTTTGAAACAGGTGGGAGTGTGACTTGAGTAAGCACCATAAAACTAGAGCCTATTCCTCCCTCTGATCATGATGGCTTTTATAAATGGATGTGATTTCAAAATTAGCACCAACATAACCTCAGGATAGTCCAAAATAGAAACATGCCATAATAAATGAAACACTGAAATGGAAAAAAAAGTGGTTTGCTAGGAAGAAAGAAGTTGATTTCTTCTCCATCAGAAACTGGCAGCCAGTCATAATTTCAAAAAATAATGATAAAATGTAGAATTATTACTGACACAATGATAGTGTAGGTTTTGGTGGCTAAAAAAGTTGATGAGATCTAGAAGCGTATGCTACCCGTGTTTTAGGCCCACTGGAAACAGCTAGTGTTCAACCAGTTTGGTTTTTATATGGCCTTAAAAGATATATATCAACTATGATTAATCATTCTAAAATTAAAAAAAAATTACCTGATCGTTGACCAAAAAATATGAAATGGAGAAAAAGAAGACAAACAAACATACCATGTTCACACACAAAACAAAATAATTCTCTCAGGGACATCAGGGAAGGTGGAATACTATAACAACACATGTTATATTGTTATACTATTCCACCCACCTTAATGAGGAACCCTTGGGCGTTGCTACTCCATAGCCTTTGGAATCCAGATTTCCTCCCACTTTCATCGTGTCACATGGCTTTCGCTGCTCAATGTATTCATTCATAGTGGACTCCAGGAGAAAGGCAAATTTGCCCTTGGATTTGCGGACACGAGCTACTCCCTCAGCTGTAGTTCTAGTGAACACGGACGGCTCTGCTGATCGCATGTAGGTCCACATCTTTTCATACACTGCTATTTTTGATCTCTGGAGGAAATTAAAATAAAATTAAATACAGGAAAGAAGGGAACAACATGTTAATATTGACCGAATCAAGATCAGGATAAAAAGCCTTTTAGTACGTTTCCATTGCCCTCTAACTCCACTTTGCCACATAGTAATGGTTGTCTTTTCAAATTAGAAAATGGCCTTTTAAAACTGTTTAAGGAAATTACTGAAATGATACACATTTAAAAGTGCTATTTGAAGACGAGCTCAGTCATATTACCTCTCACCATATTAATTACCATACTCAACTGCTTAAATAAAAACCTTTGCCATCAAGTGATTCCGACTCATAGCACCCCTATAGGACAGAGTTGAACTGCCCCACAGGGTTTCCAAGCAGCGGCTGATTGGTTCAAACTGCCGACCTTTTGATTAGCAGCCAGCTCTTAACCACTGCGCCACCAGGGCTCCGACTGCTTAAGTAACAGTTTATCATTTCTTTCTGATGTAGGATGCCATGAAGAGTTGAACATTTAAAATCATGTTTTATATCACATTATGGAAAACTTGAAAAAAGGCGAGATATGATTTGATTTCAGCTTTGCCAAACTCCTCTTATTACTAAACCTGAGTTATAACTAATAAGTTATATTTGTTATGGTGCAAGATTTTAAGTAAAACAATTCCAATATGTATACAAAAGTACAGTTCATATCAAGTCAGTATTTGAACACCAAGGAGGAGGAGAAATCTGCTGTAGTTTACAAACTATCTCTAACACAAGAGTCAAACTCTAGGTCTAGCAAGACATTTTTAGACTTTTTCTGATAAGATCCCCAAATACAAGATATATTTAACTTTAAAGAGCAATGATTCCTGTATTCCTGCATTTATATTGTAGGAGAGTTGATCATCCTAATCTCCTAATTTCAGTCCAGAAATTTACTTATTTTTGTAAATTACTTCTGTCCACTTGGGCTCTATCTATATGACTGTCTCTATTTATTCAGGTTCTTTTGTTGGCATCTGCATCCACATTAAATTTTTTATTCCCACATACATCTTTAATGTGAGATGTATCTAAAAGAACTTAAATCCAAAGGACATATTTAATAAGATAGAAAAGCCTGAATCCCATTTGATGTTTGATAATACAATGATACATATAGACTTTTCTTTGGATTTGTTAAATCACAAGGTGCTGAAATTTTGGCTCTGGATCCAAATATTAGGTAATGGAGACTTCATTCAGACTTAAATTTCTGTGTGTGGTCCAGCCTCAGTAGCATGTACATTATTGCCATTGGGCTTCCTTTATTTCCCAAAATATAGAATCTAACAAGAAGCAGCTCTTCAATAATCAATGAATATCCTGAATAACAAACTTATGAATACATATTTTTGGGCAAAGGCAAATTATTTAGGTAGACAAAGAAAGAAACTACTCAAAACTCTTAGGTGGGATCCCAAATTTTGGTTTCATAAAATGAGAAATTAGTCATCAGTAGAACAAAATAATAAACCATACCATATATGATTTCAACACCAAAAAAGAAGATATTTTCTGTTCATTATATTCCAATGTTGATACATATCAGGATGGGAACTTGACACCGTATAGTTTCCTATGAAATGTTTTATGTTATTAACACTTAAAAAAAACTCATGATATAAAAAAATATGTATGTGTGCACACACAAGCACATGCGTGTGAATGTAGATAATGCCAGGTCACTTTTGGCTACAGAAATCCTCACTCAGGAAATTTCATGCAACACTATAATCCAGTTGCAAAGATTCTATGTCCTTCTAGGATAGAGGAGTACCTGGATTCAGGCCCCTCAACTGTGGGATCCACTAGCAAGATTATGTTATCAGGTCTTATTCATTCCGTCTTTAAAAATAGAGTTCTGTTCCAGAGAACTAACCCATCCATTTTAGTAGTTCTGATCTTTGAAAAATATAAAACTCTCTGGACCACTTGATATAGAGTGTCTGTTAACATTTATTCTGTTGGTTTCAAATTTAGAGAAATGTTGGTAAACAATATCCTCTAGGCATATAATCACTTGTCTATATATTTATAACTTGAGAGTTTTCTTCATGAAAGGTAGATTATCACATAAATTGTGTACTTAACTATGTATACTACATTTAAAACAGAAGAGACAAAACCTATCCAAACTTTAATTTAATTAACATATTTGTTTGAAGTTTTTTTTAAGAATATGAAAATCATAAATATACACCTATGTTAGTTATGTGGCAGATTTCCAGTTGCTCTTCAGTAGCTTATTAAAGGAATAGGGAACAGGTAAACAAAACGGAAAAAGATTTTTAAGGGCTTACTAATGATTTAGATCATTTAACTTTAGACTGCAGCATTCTATTAAAGAGCATGATTCATTTCCTTTTTAAAAGGAATAAACTACATTTAGGCCATTGATGTATTTTGAAAGTCCATTCCTATAATATTAACACGTAGAACATTACTTCCACATCTCTTTAAATGTATTGAATTAAGTATACCTTCAGTGCAAGAGTTTAAAAGAGGTTAAATTAATTCGTTTAAAATCTGGAAGGAGTATTACATACTGTAGTTATGCTACACTTAGCAGGCGTGAGGTATAATAAAAATTATGAAATACAGATTCCCAGTGGAGAATTGAGAAAAGATGAAAGTGACTTTTTTGGGGAAACAAATTAACATGGTTTGTCACAATATAAATGTTTAGAAATTCTGATTTAAAGAGACATGGCTTAGATAAGGTCAGATATACATGGTGAAGGGGGCAGAAATCAAGCGGAGGCACTGGAAATAATATCCCTGTGCCTTATCTGGGACTGCAAGAAGGTGCTTGATAAGGTTTGAGGACAAGCAAATATTTATAACTTTAATGAGACAGGGTAAAATGAGGAACTTTCTGCAGACCCAGCAGGCTCATAACCCATTGAACCCATTGCCATCCAGTCGACTTTGACTCATAGCGACCTATAGGGTTTCTAAGGCTGTAAATTTTTACAGCAGCAGACTGCCACATCTTTCTCCCACAGAGCAGCTGATGGATTCGAACCACTGACCATTTGGTTAGCAGCTGAGCACTTAACCACTGTGCCACCAGGGTTGCTAGCAAGCCCATAAGGAGAGTAAATTTTTACAGCAGCAGACTGCCACATCTTTCTCCCACAGAGCAGCTGGTGGATTCGAACCACTGACCATTTGGTTAGCAGCTGAGCACTTAACCACTGTGCCACCAGGGTTCCTAGCAAGCCCATAAGGAGAGTGATAACGGAAATTTTAAGTTCCTAAAAATAGCTACTTAAAAAGCAGGTTTGGAGACTGAATATGCCCATGGTGGTAAAAACAGAGATAATATAAAAATCGTTATTTTTTAAATTAGAAAATTTTTCTTAGGTTTATTTGTTCTCTCTTTATTGTGAAAGCTAGTGCATGGGAAACTATTTGATTTAAAGCACTGTTTTAGTACTTAGGACAACTCTTACAGTTTTAAAAATGTGCTGTCCTTTTAATTCCCCCAATATGAAGTATTTTGGCATTTCTGCTTGCAACAAAAATATATATAAAATGTTATACATTATAGTTAAAGTTTACATTGTTATCATGTGAGTTATTTCCCTCTTCCAGTAGACTGTGCAGTGAGACTGAAGGTCTAGTGAGAACTCATAAATGCATAATCTGATGAGATTATAAGCCCCGAGATAGTCATCTACTGCATTTATGCACTCTTGATTTCACTGATGACTGAAGAAGGTACTGAATAAAATTTGCAGTGAAATGAAAATCAGTGTGTTTGTATAAAGTGTATAATAATGTAAAAGTACCTAAACAACAAAGTCTGTCATTAAGTGACAAATACAAACTTTCTTTAAATGCCTCCATCTTTATGCTTAACAAGGTGCCAGAACCTGAAGCATATCTAGTTTTATAATGGGGCAAAATCGAGGCAACCATTGAATTTGGATGTAATTTCCCCCCATGGTCTAATTCTTTTTCCAGTTGATTATGACTGTGACATTTTTTGAAGGGCTGAGTATAGGTCACTGCCTGAGGCAACTTAGTGGAGCTGACGGATGTACTGTTACTGTGTTCCAACCAGAAAACATTTCTGACAAGTACAAAAATACCCTTCACGTTCCGTTTCCTCAACCTGTCAGACAAATGGTTTATTTAAACCAGGTCATTATCTAAGGGAAGAGGAGGGAGAAAACAGGGTTGGAAATGAATGAGATTTTTTTTTATCAGAGAACCTGAAAATATGCATGCCTGAGAGTATACTGCCAGGGAAAATTATTTTCTTGTCCCATTAGGGTTCAAAGTGTTCTGCAACAATAAATGTCTATACTTGTCAAAATCTTCCAATTTTTAATCTGAATTTGGGTGAGAGAGAAAGGAAATAGGGCATGGGGATTGCACAGCTTGTATGGAAGACGTCTATAAATCTAGGAAGCAGATTTCCTCATTCCTATATTTCTTATCACTATATTCTCTTATCTTCCTCACCAGTTTTTAGAGTTGAGCAGTTTTTTTTTAAAACTGTCTGAAGGTTTAGAAATAAACATTTTCAGTGTGCTTGATGCTAAAAAGCTTTACCATGAGTTAGTTTTGGATTTTTTCAGAGACATGACATTTCTTTTTCTATTTATCACTCCAGGTATGACTGACCAGCAAATATTTTCTTTATTCAAATGAAACTTAGGCATCAGTTTTCATTAAAATGCATGTGATAACACAAACTTGTATTCTTTGTTGATGTATACGCAGACTAGTTTCTAGATAAAATAATTAAATTTTACCTACTTACTTTTGGGTGGAAGCAGTTTATGAACTTACAGATTTCCAGCAAGGTACTGAAATTATGCTAAAATGTGTTGAACAGTATAATATTTCTATTATTAAGCTTTAGGGACTGGGATGCACTCAATATGCACAAAAAAGTTTGTTAATTAAGTTTACCCATTAGATATTGTTAATAAAAATCTTTTGTCATGACTATCACAGATTTGGAAAAATTTACAAATATTTTTTAATTAACAAAAATTTGACAAGTACTAATAACACTCCAAATTGTTGACAAGAACTTGACAAGTACTAATAACACTCCAAATTGTTGACAAGAACTTGGTTGACTGTATAGTGTCTTTATTAAGACTGGGTTTGACTGAGTTTCTGAATGATTTGTTGTTGATTTAGTATTATGTAAACATCTGTAGTAAATTAGGATGCTATAATCAAATCTTATTCTAAAAAAGAAATAGCTTACTGAAATTCAAATGAAAGTTAAGACTTGCTTAAAGGGCAGAACATCTTGTTTTTAATTTCCAAGCTGAGCCAGAAAATTATAGCATATACATTTAAAATTAGAACCTAATTTCTCAAGTAGTCTACATAAGCATAAACATAAAGAACTATTACAATTTTGACATAAAATCTTAGGAAATAGAAAAATGTATCTTGTCTCCCAAAATATTATATATACCAATCTTTAAACAATTGAAATGAAATAAAAAATGTGTTCATTATAACCTAGTTAAATATTTCTGAAAATATCACTCTGACTGCTTGTTTATTTCTTGGTTCTGAAGTCACAAAATGAGCCCTATCTCTGATCAGATATTACCAAATGTATATCTCTGGATGTAAGCAGAATTAGAGGAGAGAGCTCACTGATCAAAATTCATCTACATAACGGAAAAAACATCTGCCGTTCAGATGGCGAGTTACAGCAATCATCCATATACGAAGTGCAGTTATATAGTTTGAACAATTTTATCTGCAAAAGCAGAGAAATCAGCACAAACTAAATACTATACAGTCTCTTACAGAGGCATCCAGAACTCAATAGCCTTGCTGCCATTATCTTGTGAGCAGGCAAGTATGTTGGTTTAAAATCAATTGTTATAGAATAGATTATAGAATAATATAACTCATACAGGCGGTATAACCTGCAATTAAGGTTTTGGATTTCAAATGCTGCAAGTTAAATCTATTTTTAAAAAATAAAATCTTGCTTCATTTTTTATGCTGTTAGCCCTAAAGCATATATAAATCTTGCTAGATTCAGTATCATTGTAGTATTATTAACATTGGAATTTTTTGATAAATTATATTATAAAGTTGTTCTAATTACCTTTTCCTTGTTACTGTTCCTTTGCACTGGTCTCTCTTACAACTTGAATGAGTCAATTAGCTTTTTAAAATTAAATTGATTATAAAATTGACAGCAAAGTATTAGCCTTACACATAACAGTCAACATTGTGTTTGCAAAACCTATAATAGCGACAGCCTATGATATAATTGTGAAATTGCCTGAAACTCAAAATTATGAACATTTCATTGTTAGTTTCTCCCTTAACTTACTCTGAAGAATTCCTTTGTTGACCCTGAATCCAATGTTCCATAGGCAATTTCTGTTTGTTTGGCCAGGTCTTCTGCACTTTCTATGGGGGAGACCATTCGCTCAACGGTCAGGAAAGCAGCGAGGTTAGCAGTATAAGATGATATAATGATGAGTGTAAAGAACCACCAAACACCTCCAACAATTCGACCTGAGAGGGATCTAAACATGGATAAGATAATGCACATTTTCCTTTCTCTAACCAACATACAGAAAGAAAAGAAATACCATCAATTCATTATGTATGTTTGAAAATAACAATTCCAAGTATCGTTTTATTTTCTGACAGGCTACTCAAGACTGATTGTAGTATTTCTGAACAATCTTAAGTCTTTTCTGTTATATTTAATGTGTCACTGAAAATATGGACAAATTTTCCTTTTATTTTTTAATTGGTAGAAATGTGGAAGCTTAATGCCTTTCCTTCAGGTACAGAAGAGGAATACACACTTAAATCCATTGATTCTCTCCCCCATCATATTTTAGCATCTCTGAAATTAGGAAGCAGCCTACAGTTGATGAGAGAAAGAAGCACAGTACCATGGTTTAATTGGCAGCATTGTTTCTTTCCTAGGGGCAGATAAAATACAATGCATCTTAACAATGGGTTGGATCTTGGATTTGATACAAGTTGGTAGATGACTTTCTGAGATTGAAGGAGAGAATCTGCTTTTACCTTCACTCAGAGTCCTGCCAGGATGGATGAGCATATGCCAACGTAGGGCTGGACAATAAGAGGGTGTAGGATTGGTCTCAAAGTAACTGTAGTTCAGGATTTTTTTTTTTGGTATGATAAACCATTTCTGATCTTACTGGAGGATGAGTTATGTTCTAAGGCATCTTTACATACTGGTATAACATTTTTCTCTCATTACCTTTCTCTGGCTGTCAAGGGTGTGTGGATAAGTATGAGTGCAGAGGAAAAGTGAGAATGTGCTGAATAAAAAACTAGGACATGTGTGTGATTGATCTTCGTCATTAACCATTGAACAATTCAAAATTCCTGTGTCCAATTCGTTTTAATTTGAAGAATCGTCTCATAATTTCCATAGCATTTCCAAATTTAAAAAGTTTTCTTCACCTTTATTATGTTAAGTGGCATCTATTGGTTTTAACTTACTATTTGCTTAATCCTGGCTTTCAAAAACCATTACTTGATTTGCTTGTTTTTTTCCTCACTTCATTAATCAAAAGTTATTGACTGAGTTTTTTAAGTTATTGGAAATTTAAGCACATTTATAGTTTTCCTGGGTCTTAAGGAACACATACTGCATTGTGCCCCAAATATTTCTTTTTGAGAAAAAATTCCATACATTCGTGAATAATTAAATTTAATACTTGGCTTCTTCTGCCTTCAGCTAGTTTCTCTATGGGAGGAATTTGTCATTTTTTTCTTGCAACAGGAGATCAGCTACCTTTTTGCAAATCTGAGTAACGTCTTGGTAGCATTCAAAGGAAGGGAGCTGTGCCTCCTCAGATATTGAAAGATCTCTTTATAAAACAATGAACATAGTGTTAACATTGTTGTTTCTTTGCCTACTGCCTAGTTTGTTCATGAGTCATTACATAAAACAATGTATGTCTGGTACCTACTATATTGACTCCACAGCAGAAATCGCCCTTCAGGTACACGGGATGAAAATCAAGTTCAACATTAATTTTTAAAAATGAGCAACAACAGCAATAACACAAATGCTTGTTTTTGAAAAGGAGATGAAAGGAAATTGAATTCCTGTTCTTATAATTTAAGTTTTCGTTTCCACCTGTCAAACCACTGAATGAAAGTTTAATGCTAAATAATTCTGAGAGTTCTGCTGGGTTGCATATGTTACAAATCTATTGGAAAAGCTAATCTTTATAATGTGTTCACATTTTGTGTTCACTTGGAAGACATGGGGTATGAATATACTTAGGTTAATCTGGGAATTACAAGTTTTCGTGGCATTTCAAGGAATTCTCTGCCTTCCGGAAAAGAACATGTAGAGGGATGGTCTGCACAACATGTAGAATTACTGGGGAATTGGTGAAGAACTTAAGCATTTTGAAACTAACCTGGGTGAAATGTCACATCCTTGCTGCATAAAAGCACCCAGGGAAAACCAGAGGCTGTTAAAGATGCCAAACTCATTGGGAGGCTGGTCGCTCGGTCCTTCCTTTCCATCCTCTGGCTCTTCTGTGTGCCATTCGTATGGGCTAAACCTACTAACTAGGAACAAGACCACGCTGACACCAATGTAGGCAAAGACAATGCACATCCAAATCTCATAGGCCAGAGGGTCCAAGAAGGAAAACACTCCTGGTTTAGATTTCTGAGGCTTTTTGATCATGATAGATATGCCCAAACTCATGAAGGGCTTAGAGAAATCAATGACCTCCTCTCGAACCAAAGTGATTGTCAAAGGGGCAATAGCAATCTCTGCTTTCTATAAGAGAAAAGACACATGACAGAGCACAGAGGTCAATGGATTTCATGAAGGAATTAACACTGGATTAGTCCATTCAAAACTAACCAATTATGCATTCATTCTACATATTTTTTTTTTTTTTGGAGTGCCAACAATGAATAAGGCCTGTGATAAATACAAAGAAGAACAGTATATTTGTTTTCATAACAAAATATATCAATTGCACAAAACGTTTTTATTGGTGCTGGTAATCAGATATGAGGAAGAGAAACAAAGAGTGGATATAAGCAAAATAACTTGAACTCAGATAACTGTGTTAGTGTTCAAGGATTTGGAAGTGGGCAGAAAAGAAGACTTAACAGTCTTTCCATATGGTTGAATTTCTTGGCCAGGAAAACTGCTGTGTTGCAGCCTTTTCTCTTTCATTTGGAAAGTTGCCACTTATTCATTTCTTGGCCACCCCTTAATATTATGAATTGCAAATTTCAAAACAGTCTTTTCATTTTTATTCCTTTCCTGCTATGAGAAAACCAATCATAAAGTCTGTTTGTATAATAAAATAAAACTAGTTGTTTGACGATATTTTCCAATTCAGTGCACACACAAAAATCTGGAAATTGGCGTTTATTTTTTGCTATTCACATACTCTGATTTTCTATTTGCAGTTAAAAAAAAATGATTTTGGAAAACAGTAGATTCAATTCTCAGATGTTATGATCATAAACCACCAGCTTCTGTTTTCTTAGTTCTGTGATTTGGGGCAATTTTTTAAGCCTGTTTCTAATTTCTTCAAAGTGGAGACTCTTTCCTATTTACCTCTCCGTGTTATTATGATTATCTTTTAAAAACCTTAATAAAATAATAGTGAGGCTCTGTTGAGGGATTATATGCCTGACCCTGATCTGTTTTAAATTGCCTTTCCTTTAATCCTACAACAATCTTATCATTGTTTTAGAGATGCTGAACTAAGGCTCAGAGAGGTGAGTTTTACCTATCATGGCAGCTCTGGGATTTGAGCCTGTGCTTCTTCAGTTAAATCCTGCTACCTCAATAATCAAATGAAATAAAGTACGGTGAAAAAGCTTTGTGAACTGTCACATAGTCTACAAAGAAAAAAGTGTTTTTAAAATTATTTATTTTAAAAGGAAAATATTTGGATTCAAAACAGAATCAAAATCACGATCAGACACACATGTTCTTACATAGAGGCTGCCATTTTCACATTCACTCTTATAAATGCTTGAACTCCTGGGCTGATGTTACAGTCAGGAGCTTGATACAAGGGCAACTGGAGGAGTATGATGGAGAGGGCATGCTGGCCGTCATGCTGTCCGCTGAGAGACTGAGAATTATACTCAAGTGTGAGTAAACTTGTGGTTAGGTGCTGTTGAGTTGGCTCTCATACCGACCCTATGTACAACAGGATGACATACTGCCTGGTTCTGCGCCATCCTCATAATTGTTGTTATACTTAAGCCCATTGTTGCAGGCACTGTGTCTATCCATCTTCTTGAGGGTCTTCTTCTTTTTCACTGATCCACTACTTTACTAAGCATGATGTCCTTGTCCAGGGACTGATCCCTCCTGATAACATATCCAAAATCTGTAACATGAAGTCTTGCCCTCCTGGCTTCTAAGGAAAATTCTAGCTGTACTTCTCCCAAAACAGTTTGTTCATTCTTCTGGCAGTCCATGGTGTATTCAGTATTCTTCACCAACACCATAATTCAAAGGCATTAATTCTTCTTCAGTCTTCCTTATTCATTGTCCAGCTTTTGTATGCACATGAGGTGATTAAAAATTTCATGGCTTGGGTCAGGCGTACCTTAGTTCTCAAAGCGACATTTTTGCTTTTCAACACTTTAAAGAAGTCTTTTGCAGCAGATTTGCCCAATGCAATGCATCATTTGATTTTTTTTGACTGCGGCTTCCATGGGCATTGACTGTGGATCCAAGTAAAATGAAATCCTTGACAATGTCAGTCTTTTCTCTGTTTATCATGATGTTGCTTATTGGTCCAGTTGTGAAGATTTTTTTCTCTTTATGTTGAGGTGTAATCTGTAATGAAGGCTGTAGTCTTTGATCTTCCTCAATAAGTGCTTCAAGTTATCTTCACTTTTAGCAAGATCTGCATATCACAGGTTGTTAATGAGTCTTCCTCCAATCATGATGCCACGTTCTTCTTCGTATAGTCCAACTTCTCGGATTATTTGCTCAGCATACAGATCGAATCAGTACGGTGAAGGGATACAACCCTGACACACACCTTTCCTAACTTTAAACCAGGCAGAATCCCTTTGTTCTGTTAGAACAACTGCCTCTTGGTCTATGTACAGATTTCTCACGAGCACAATTAAGTGTTCTGGAATTCCCATTCTTCAAAAGGTTAACCATAATTTTTATGATTCACACAGTCGAATGCCTTTGCATAGTCAATAAAATACAGGTAAACATCTTCCTGGTATTCTCTGCTTTCAGCCAAGATCCATCTGACATCGGCAATGATATCCTTCATTCCATATCCTCTCTGAATCTGGCTTGAATTTTTGGCAGTTCTCTGTTGATGTACTGCTGCAACCGTTTTTGAATGATCTTCAGAAAAATTTTACTTGTGTGTGATATTAATGATACTGTTTGATAATTTCCACATTCTGTTGGATCACTTTCCTTTGGAATTGGCACAAATATGGATCTCTTCCAGGTGGTTGGCCAGGCAGCTGTCTTCCAAATTTCTTGGCATAGATGAGTGAGCACCTCCAGCACTGCATCGGTTTGTTGAAACGTCTCAATTGGTATTCCATCATTTCCTGGAGGCTTGTTTTTCGCCATTCCCTTCAGTGCAGCTTGGACTTCTTTCTTCAGTACCATCGGTTCTTGATCATATACTAGTTCCTAAAATGGTTGAACATCAACCATTTCTTTTTGGTACAGTGATTCTGTGTATTCCTTCCATTTTATTTTGATGCTTCCTGCTTCATTTAATATTTTCCCTGTAGAATCTTTCAATATTGCAACTCAAGCATTGAATTTTCAGTTTTTTCAGCTTGAGAAATGCTGAGCGTGTTCTTCTCTTTTGGTTTTCTAACTCCAGGTCTTTGTGCATTTCGTTATAATACTTTACTTTGTCTTCTCCAGCTGCCCTTTGAAATCTTCTGTTCACCTCTTTTAAATGACATCATTTCTTCCTTTTGCTTTAGCTACTCTACTTCCAAGAACAAGTTGCAGAGTCTCTTCTGACATCCATTTTGGTCTTTCTTTCTTTCCTGTCTTTTAATGACCTCTTGCTTTCTTCATGTGGATGTCCTTGAGGTTATTCCACAACTTGTCCAGTCTTTGGTCATTAATGTTCAATGGGTCAAATCTATTCTCGAGATGGTCTCAAAATTCAGGTAGGTTATACTCAATGTTGTGTTTTGGCTCTCATGGATTGGTTCTAATTTTCTTCAGCTTCAACTTGAACTTGAATATGAGCAATTGATGATCTGTTCCGCAGTCAGCCCCTGGCCTTGTTCTGACTGATGATATTCAGCTTTTGCATCATCTCTTTCCACAGATGTAGTCGATTTGATTCCTGTGTGTTCCATCTGGCAAGGTTCCTGTGTATGTTGTTGAAAAGTATTCGCAGTGAAGAAGTCATTGGTCTGGCAAAGTTCTATCGTGTGATTTCCGGCATCATTTCTATCACCAAGGCCATATTTTCTAACTACTGATCCTTTTTTGTTTCCAACTTTCCAATTCAGTCGCTAGTAATTATCAATACATCTTGATTACACGTTTGATCAATTTCAGACTGCAAAAGCTGGTAAAAATCTTCAGTTTCTTCTCTTTGGCCTTAGTGTTGGTGTCTAAATTTGAATTATAGTTGTATTAACTGGTCTTCCTTGTAGGTGTATGGATATTATTCTATCAGTGACAGCATTGTACTTCAAGTTAGATCTTGAAACATTCTTTTTCATGATGAACGAGATGCCATTCCTCTTCATTTTGTCATTCTCAGTATAGTAGATCTTATAATTTTCTGATTTAAAATGGCCAATACCCGTCCATGTCAACTCATTAATGCCTAGGATATCAATCTTCATGAGTTTCATTTCATTTCTGATGGTTTCCAATTTTCCTAGATTCACGTTCCGTATATTCCTATTACTAATGGATGTTTGCGGCTCTTTCTTCTCATTTTTAGTCGTGCCACATCAGCAAATGAAGGTCCCAAAAGCTTTACTCCATCCATGTCATTGAGGTCAACTCTACTTTGAGGAGGT